TGTGAAATTTAGTTTCATGTGCAAAATTATGGAAAGAACCATGTCAAACTATCTTTAGACCATGTAAAGTATACATAATACACAAATGACTATATATCTAGACATGGTTGCTGTCCCAAAGTTTTCTGTACACACACACACAAACAAACAAACATATTCCGATTGTTTTTGAAATCTGATATTTAAAGCACTTTTAGTTCCAGTCATTTTGTAAAACAGATTCTTGACCTCTACTTTGAGCATGCATTTTATAGATTCAAAGGCTCCTGAAACGTCCCAAAGATCCCACACCAAGAATACCTATTTTAATGTCATTGTGAAGAAACCAGCAAACGGTATTGTTCCATGATCTAAAACTACAGTTAAGTGACCCTGACTTTGAAGTAGATAAAGATCAAGTCTTGGAAACTGAGAGTTTTGGCTTAGATTGCAGCATCAGCACATTGTTCTCAACACCAGCCTGGACCAACTGTTTCTCCTGGGATGGTGAGAAGGTTGGAAACACCTGAAAGAGTGAAGTTGCTTGAGAGTGATTATGTGGGGTTGGAAATTTCATCAGCATGCTCACCACATTGTTTATAGAAAGCCACATCTTTACCCTTGTGTTGGCAACTTCCACGATTCTAAAGGTTAATGATTCTGTGGATCCAGGCCTCACATATACTGAACCTTTCAAAAGCTTCATTTATCTTTCATTTGGAGGATTTCCCAATGACTTTTAATTACATGTATTCTCTGTTGGCAGGAGTAAGGCAATGAAGTACAAGGCTTTGTATACCCTTCCTCACAAAGCCAATACGGTGTATTTGCTGTTAATGAACAGATGGAATGCAGGGGATGCAGTTGCAAAGAAAAACCCACAGTTAAGTGCTGCTTGCTTACAGAGGCAAGCCTGGGAAGGCAGCTCCAGTAACATTTCCATGGTGTATTTCATGGTCTGTTTGGACACCTGAAGTTTTCACTGGGGTTGCTCTCTTGCTGCTGGGAGCACCACTTCCGGACTAAACTGAAGGCTACAGAATCAGCACACTTAAACTATGCTGATAAAGAGCTGAAGAAGATGCTTGGGGAGGGAGGGAAAGAGAGGGAAGAGTCATGTGGTGATTATCAGAGCAGGTGAGGCCCACAGTGGTGCTTCTCAGGAGCACTGAAGAGTACTCTATTATGCAAGGTGAGAGGAGACAAGAAACAGACCTCGTTTCTCAATACCTGTGACGCCTTGCTCCCAAAGCAATGAATCCATCTTCCTGCCTCTTGGCAGCACAGCACTCACATAGATTGATTGGGAGAGGGTTCTCCCCCCCTTCATTTTTCTATGTTCCCAAAGAAAGGCATTCTAGCCTTTCTTAACCTTACATTCCAGAGTCTCACAGTGACTATACTCAGGAAATACTTCCTCAGGTTTAACTAAATCCCTCTCTGCAATATGAGACCATCGCTATCCTCCAAGGACTCACAGAACAGCTGCCTGGCACCTTGCCAGTCACACCATTCCACGTTTCCATTGTTCAGGGGAGGAACAGCTCTAGGCTTTTGCTGATTGGCTCTTACCACCCAGCAGGAACTCAGGCCAGAACACCAAGCTGCTCTGAGGTTGCTTTGCTGGGACTAAAAGTACTTTTGGGGGGCACTATTATCCCAGGACTCTGAAGTCAGTATATGTGACGTATCCATTTCTGAGAATAATATGCTCTGAGAGGGGACTGGAAAGCTGACTGGAAATGTTTTTGTGGTGCTTTACCTAGGATTATACCTGTTGTGCTTTTAAAATACCAGCTCGGGTAGCCCAGGCTGGTCCTAAGGTTACTATGTAGCCAAGGATGGCCTTGAACTCCTGCTCTTCTTGCCATTGCCTCCTCAGAAGTGCTAGAATTCTCCTGCCATGTGTCATTATGCCAGGCTTTATAACTCTCACTTTTTAAAGATGAAGAAAGCTCAATCAAAGGAAGGCCACATATGTAAGAAAAGAAGTCATGGGTTGGCCCTCAAATTATGAGAGTACAGGTTTTCTGTCCCTTCTAATATACAAAAGTGGCTTTGCAGGGATCACTAACCATGTGTGTTCTGTCTTTTTCGACCTTAGTGTAACAAATAGCAGAAGCCAGTGCAGAAGAAAAGGAGCACAAAGGCCCATGGAAAACTACAGACAAGGTCAAGTTTTCAGTCACTATAAATGTGAAACCAGTTAGAGCATTTGGTTAGCAAGACAAGAAGAAACTGGGATAGGCAGGGAGGTGGTCTTGGGAATTTTTGGAGACAGATAGTTCTGCTGCCCAGCCCAGACCTGAACTCTATTCACTATTCAAGCTTAGGTAAGCTCACTCTCACTGAGCTTCAGTGTTATCATTTTGGAAACAGAAGAATAATACTTTCACAGGATTAGTAAAATAAAAAGTAAATGACAAGTAATAATGAATGAGCAGTCAAATAGGAGAAGCTAAATAAAGGTTTAAACGATCATATTCAGGAGTGAACAGAGCAAATCAAATGGAGTTAGGTTAGGAAAGGTTTTATGGAAGAAGAGAGAGATTGTGACTTGGGGAAGAAGACAAGGTAAGCTGCCATTCTTAGTCCCCACCTCCTTCAGGGATGTCATTTGGGCCTTTGAAAGTGAGAACCCACACTGTCTGTCTCCATAAGCCATGGTGTCTCATATTCCTGTAACAGCCTGTCACAGGAGAGACCATGGGTGGATAGATGGCTTATGTGATTCCAGGAGATGCATTAAAGCAATAGAGTGAAGAGTCACTTTGGTATAACACCATTAAAACTTGAGTGTGCTGTGATGTTGAACAATTGTCAGTACATATAACTTCTGGAAATGTTAAATCTAATGACTTGACTTGCTTGCCATGAACCTGTTGCTTCTGATTTATATGGGATAAATGACCTTTCAAGACCCCATAAATTATTGGAAATGGGGCTGTTGCAATTTTTGGACACTTCCTATTGATTAAGTAAATCATCTACTAAATGGAAATCCAATTTGAAAGGAATACATTTAAATGAATTAATAAGTGTACTGATATGGCAGAATAGCAGAAGTAGCAAGAAAGGATTCTAGAATTGGTGGGAAACTTTTAAATAAGCTTTAAACACTCAGGAGCCAGAGAGGGAAACCACTGGGTGCTCATATGGACTGTGGCAAAAGAGCTTTTGACATTTGCCCAACCCAGTGGATCTGTGGAATGCAAACCACAAGGCCACAATTATTTCCAAAGGCATGCAGCACTTCTTGTGGCCAAATGATAAGCTGGTTAAGGTGCCCAGACTAAAGGATTGTGGGAAATACAGCCTGTGCTTCCATGCTGCCAAGTCATGATGTGGGTTTCTGTGGCTAGTGAAATGAAGCCAGAGGGTTTCACAGGCTTCATCACCCTGAAAGCTCCTGCATGGACTGCTAGAGGCACACAGGGGCTCTGGTCTGGGAATCCAATCCAGAGCCTGCTAGGAAAGGATTTCCCCAAATACAGATGACAAAATAGAAAAAAGGAGAGAGATAATCATGTTTATTGAAAGTCCACTCTGTACCATGTATTGTGTGCATTATTTTAGTCAATCCTCTCAGCAATTTCAACACAGAGCTTCTAGACTCATTTTTAGAAGCTTAATGTAGAGTTGTGACTTTAACCATGGTCTGATGGGCTCTGAAGCATAGGAGGACTGTGGCTTTTTGGTCTCACGAATTTACCTCTGCAAAATACAATACAATTCACTGAGCTGTTAGTATGCATATGTTGGCTTAGATGAGCACGGGCTTCAAAGTTGCATCCATATCATAAAACATGGGACCACTGAGTACTTGGATTAAGAGGTTTAAAGTTTATTCCAATGTACATTAGAAGTCATAGAAGGTTTTAGAAAGAAGTTGAGATTGGGGTTGTCTTAGTTGGCTTTCCATTGCTGTGATTAATACTATGTCCAAGAGCATCTTGGGGAGGAAAGGGTTTATTTGTCTTTCAGTTCCATGTCACAGTGCATTACTGAGTGAAGTAAGAACAACAACTAAAGACAGGAATCTGGAAGTAGGAACAGAAGCAGAGAACATGAAGAAAGGCTGTTCCCCATGGCTTCCTTGGACCACATTCTTATACTGACTATAACCACCCATCATGAGTGTCGCTACCACATCCACTAGTGGATTTGGCCCTTACATTTCAATCATGAATCAAGGAAATGCCCCACCAACATGCCTATGGGAATCTGAATGAAGGAATTTTGCCAAATGAGGTTCTTCTTCCCAGATGACTCCAGTTTTGTCAAGTTGACAGAAAACAAAAACAAAAACAAAAAAACAGGATAGGGGTATGGTCATAATTTTCTTTCCCACTTTTAGATTGGAATTCACTATTCTAGGGTGTAAGAAGAGATCAACTGGAAAACCAAATGAAGAGGAGGAAGCAAGCCCCGGCTCTGGGAAGGTAGCAATAAAGCTTTGGGTTAAGTGCTAATCAGAGGCATGGCAGATTACATGCCCATCGGCATTGTACAGAAACATTTCCCGTGGTCAGTCCTCCAGAAACATGTAGTTTCCCATAAAAGGTGGAGCCTATGTCTTCTCTCATGAACCTGGGCAAGCCTTTGTGACTGCTTCAACTTATGGTGTATGACCAAAGGGTACTATGACCTTCAAGGGCAGGTCAGAGACAGCAATACAAGTATACCTGGTTCTCTTTGTCTCAAGATGTGGCCATTGTAAGCTTGCTGTTACACTGTAGAAAAACTAGCTATCCACATAGACAGGACCATGCTGAAAGAAATGGGCTTCAGCTGAGCTCCCTGTCGATATAGATTGCCATGTTACTAACTATCTGAGGAAGACATGATGGAGCAGGACTAAATTTATTTAGTTGCATGTTACTAACTATCTGAGGAAGACATGATGGAGCAGGACTAAATTTATGCATTTAGTTGATGAGTCCTGTGTGGCACAGAACAGAACTGAGGTAAGGTTTCCTGTCTAAGTCCTACCCAAATTACAAATTTGTAAACAAGCTTGGTTACATTACTAAGTTTGCTGGTGATTTTTATTGTGTTGGTAGACAGGTAACCAAACTGACACCCATCACAAAAGGAACCAACCAGACAAGGGTTTGCTGGTCTGTCAGCCAATGGCAAATGACAACTCACCCCGTCAAGTGACAGTGACAAGTGACAACAGACCTTTGTCAGCTGTACTTACTCAGCTGTGCCCTATTACTCTGGGAAGTGAAAAGTTTTGGCTTGGATGTACCATGCATCCATTGATAGTCAATGTGTTTCCAACCATCTTGTTTCTAGAATGTACATTTTTAGAGAAGTGGGCATAGACAAATGATCTGATAGAAAAACACACACAGTCTACTGACTGTGTCTTAGACAAAGTGTTAGACCTTTCATACCTTTTTTCTCACCAAATACAAATGAAGAAAAAAAACTCCTCTAGAGTCCTACACTGATTAATATACAACCAGTGTGTGCCAGGTATAAGATTCAAACTCAAGCCTGAGTCCATTGCTTTGCCTCTTTCCTCTACATCGTCTTCCATGCTTCACCCCAGTTTATTTCAGTTTGATTTTGACACATGTGTACTGTCGGCTTTTATTTTCAGCACTAGTGAGTGGTGTTCATTGCAGCATTCAGCTACAATGCTACATCCCCAGGCCCACTGTTGACTTGTTTGCTGGGGATTTATTTTCCCTCCTGAGCAAGCTAGTTACCTTTCTTGGCTACTATTCTTAAAGGAAGAGTTTCATTCCTGAAGCATACACTCCACGGCCCCTGATATTGGAAGCAGATGGCCTACAGTATGTTGTGAGACATGGGAATCAAAATTTAAAAAAAAAAAATTCTGTCACGGTTTTGGAATGCTGTGCTTCGATGCTGAGAGGAGGCTTTTCAAAGGGGGTTTTTCTTCTTCATTATGTTAGCCATTGCCTTTGTTTACAGGACTCTTGAGGTCAGGGTGAAGACGTGTCTTACAAATTGAAGTGCACAGAGTTAGCCGTGTGGAACTTCTAGTCCTGCACCCTCCTTAGGCTCCTGAGGAAGCAAGATCCTCACACAGGCGTCTAGATGTTTGAATGGAAAGAGTCCCCACTCTCACTTTTTGGGATAAGAGGCTATGGGACCAATAAGACGTGAGTCCTCTGCCTGTGGCATGTTCAGTGACTGCTGAAAGTACGTACCAAGGTTCCACCATTTTGTCCTGGCATAACCTCTGCCCACGGTGACCTTGCTCAAGCCATTAACCGCTCATCTTTACTCATGAGTTCCTAGGGGACAGCTGTGCTCTGCCAGAGCTTGAAATCTCCCTACTGATTTCAAGTCGCTTCTGAAACATAAGCCATCAGAACATCATCCAAATGTCCTCTCAATAATCCAGATGCATCATTCTCCCTCCCCTGCAACAGTCATTCGTTTCTTTCTTAGCAGGCTGTTTTCCAAACCTTTGACACGGTGCCACACCTCATCATTGCCACCACCACGGAACATGCCAGTTTGTCAGTTTTAATCTGTCTAAAATCCTGCTACCACCAGCACAAACCTTTGGATTTCTTATATGTTGATACAAAGATTTCACACATTGATTTTTGTGGAGCTCTGATTTCATGCAAGCTAAGCAAACAGTGGCAGGTTGGTTGTTGGGGTAATGAATGCTCCATCAGATTAATAGAAATCGATGGCATTGGCAGGTTCTGGAGGAGACGCAGGGTCTGGGATCTGGACAGCACACTCTGCCAGAACAAGACAGATGGTTAGAAGCCAACACTCTTACCTCTTTAACTTGATGGGCTCATTAGCAGATTTCCCTCCTTTGGGTCTCATTTGAGTTTCTTGATTTTAAATGGCACCCCGTAGATTGCCCACTAGTCTGGAAAACTACTGACAGAGGCTTCCCATGACCTGGCATAGAGAATATTCTACTACCCAAGGTTTATTCAGTAGCCCAGACAGCTAGGATTTTTGCAAATAGGTGCTGGGATACTGCATCTTTAGTGAACCACTTGGATGCAGGAAATTAATGTTTCCTAATTAAGAACCATCGTTTCTCTAAACAAATGTGCAGAAAAAGATCAAATCCTGTATTAGGCACATGATTTGTGTTGAAGCCATGAAAGGTACATGACATTGTCATCACCATTGTATTTACTCTCCTTACTTTGTAGGCGGGGAACTGAGGATTGGGAATTTTGTCTCAAAGAAAAGAGTTAGAGAATGAAAAAGACAGAATTTGTCTCTAGGTCTACTGTGGTCGCCCACACTGGGAACGTTTCATTTTATCATTGGTCTCAATCACAAAGGCAGATGGCTAAGCCTGTGGCCAGCATTTCTGGCACTAAATTACTTACTACTGTGACTTCTCCCTTCTTCTTGCAGATCCCAGGGATTCTCAGCTTTCTTTCTCTTCCTTTTATTGTTTTGAGACATGCTTCCATCCTCAGGGTTCTCTCTTCTCCCCTACTTTTGTTCCAAATGAGTATCACTGAGGGGAAATAACAGTGTGGGAAGGAAGCTTCAGATCTGCCATGGTTCTTATAGTCAAGATTCAACCAACAGAGACATACTCTCTCTCTCTCTCTCTCTCTCTCTCTCTCTCTCTCTCTCTCTCTCTCTTTCTCTCTCTCTCTCCCTCTGTCTCTCTCCCTCAAATGTCTCATTGTTGTTTGCAGTGATTTCCTTTCCAGGTGGCATCTTATGTTTTCTTTTTATTTGGGTTGGCTTCTTCCACTGTAACTGGAGAGGGCTGCTTAGATTATAGAGATGACGCTAAATCAGTTTACACTTTTTACCCAAGTTTGAGTTATTTCTACATTTTTTTTATCTGTCTATTAGTGGCCAGCCTCTCAAATAGATAAAATTCCTATCAAAGACCCCAGAAGCTCACCCACATGCTTCAAACTGCCCTCTATGGATGCTTCTTCACCCTGAGAGCCATCTCCTGTTCCTGATGCTGGTATATATCCTGGTAATTTGCCGATTCCTCTGCTGCCTCTGGCTGTCTAACATCTTTTTCCACACTCTGCTTGTGAGCATCACCACACTGTTTTCAATCACTTTACTCACCTCTTTGGAAGCAGTACTACTCTTGCTTTTCCTAGCTTCATACTTCCCCTCTATCTTACTTTTCTATCCCTTCCTCATGTCAAACCCACTGTTCAGCCATGCTTTTACTTTTCAGACTTGACAGAAGTTGTCCTGGGAGGTGAATATGGCTCATGGTTCCAATATCACCATAATAATGACTCAAAAGTTTTCACACCTTAACTCCAAAATAGCATCCAGTGGGAAATGTCCAGGCAGAGTGCACTATTAATCTTTAACATACTGCACCTTAACTTCGTATTTCTGACCTTCCCATCTTCCCAGAATTCTGTTAGTACATAAAATTCATTCCTTTAACTGTTTAGTCCTGTTTATAAATCCATTCATTTATTCATTAATTTGTCCAATACACATTTACTAAGTGTGCATTCTGGGTCAAGTTTTAGGCAAGGAGGTGGCAGCTCAAGAGCAAATGACATATCTTGAGTTTGACACTGAAGGTCTTCCATCCCTTAATATCACAAACTGTTCTCCCATTGTCCCCAGCATATCTAAGATCTGTAGCCTAACTAGTTTCCAACATTCACACTAATGAGTTTTTTTCTCACCTTTGTGTCTCTGGCCTTTTGTTATTCCTGCCTGAAATAACCTCTTCCCATGTTTCTGTCATCTAAAAAGTCAATATTTCCTACAAGTCACTTGTGTCTTAAGAGTATTAGCATAATTCCATTTCCATTTTCTACCTCCCTATAGGGTGTTGTGACTCAATGGTCCCTTCTTTCTACTGCGATCATAGGAATTAGGAAGGCATGTCAGAGTATTTTGGTAGCATGTTTGTCTTAGAGTCCTTTAATGAGATTGCTGTAGCAAGGAGAAACTTCCTGAACAAGGACAAGATTAAAGCACTCTTCTACTTACTCCTTTATTATTCCATTAATGACAGAGCTCTTTGAAAAAATATGGGTTTCCAGGGGGTGTGAGCCTGTTCTAGGATGGCTATAAATGCATCTGGCTTCCTGAGCCCTGGCTGTTCTCCGTCTGCTCCTCTGAAGCCTAACAGCACTTGCTGGCAGATTCAAGCCTGACTACAGGAGAAGCTAATGTAGACTATGAAATACCAGACTACTGTGAGCAAACTGCAACATGTAAGAATTCTTCTGATGCCCATGGAACTTCAAAACAGACCTCTTCTAGATGGTCTAGCTTGACTGGATGCTCAATAACCCCCAACACCATATGGGAAATACAATCTGGAATTTTATGGAGAAGGAGCATGTCAGCCCAAACCATAAAATACACATTTTCTTCAACTTCTTTATGATTTATCCAACTGAGAAAGTCCTTAGAGTTGACCTCCACTGTTCAGATTATGGCATCTACTACACAAGACTTGATCCATGACAAATCTGCCATTATCACTGGTAGATGTCCTTAAGGTCATGGATGCATGCTAAAATCACTAGTATGGGAGCCTGCTTTCATCAAGAAATTTTCCTATGGCCTTTGAAGACACTTTCAAATGCTAAGTAACTAGACCTTATGAAAGAACCCATCTAGAACTTCCTAAGACAGAACACAGAGTCACTGCATTATAACTACTGTATTATGTGATCCAGTGGAAGGGGAGTATGGTGGTAACTGGAATTCCTTACTGTCTTCTACCCAACAACAAGAGCAAGGTATTATTGAAATTGACCCTGTCCTTACTCATCATGCTGTTCTCACTCTCAGAACTAGAGAACTGGTCCCAGGCATAATTGTTTCAGACTTCACTACCTTAAGCAGTAGCCTCAAAGTGCACCCCACAGCTTTATAGAATATGTCATAGCCAGAAGCATATGATCCACAGGGACTTGGGAAGACATTGGTTTTGTGCATGAGAGTATCTGATCATGAGACTTCGAGGCCAGCACTGATGACTTCACGGTATGGGATATTGGTCAACACCAAAGACTCCTGGGTGCAGACTTCCACGAACAGCTTCACTCCCATGGGCTGTACAGCAAGAAAAACATGAGGTTAGGGCAAGCAATAATTTCCATTTGTGATCCTAAAGCCTGGTTTTCTCATCCTGGTACAGTATTTGTTTAACTCTCATCATGAACTTAAGGAGTCAATGATTCTTTCCACACCCCCACAGGTCTACCTATAAAATAGGCATCCTTTTATGGAATCAGATATTTAAGAGCCCAGAGAAAGTATTGAGAAAGCACAAAATCTTAGGAAAGCTGACACCTATGTATGTTGTGTTTCTTGTTTTGCTTTTGTTTTACGGTATATACTTTCTGTTGTATCCTCAGGACCTGTCAAAGTACATGCCACTTAGTAGGCAGGCATGCATGAAGTGTAAAAGAATGAATGAACCAGGGCTTTGGTAGTCATTCACTCTTTCAACGCAATCAATAATTTAAATTTAATTTAATAAATTTCGAGATAGAGTTTCTCTCTGTAACAACCCTAACTGTCCTGGAACTAGCTCTATAGACTAGGATGGACTTGCACTCACAGAAATCCTCCTGCCTCTGCCTCCTGAGTGCTGGGGTTAAAGGCAAATGCCACTATCTTCTGGTTCAATACATTTTTAAAAGTTTGCAAGGTATCTGAAGAACTTCTTTTCTGCATCCCTCTTTCTCAGTAATTAGTTTACAAGCATCTCAACTTGAAATCACAATCTGCATTTCATTTCATGGGCATAGTTGGCTGTGAAGTAGGAATTCTGTGTCATTGGCTGATACCAGGCACTCACATAGTTAAATGGCTTCTATTTTTATAATTAACAAACAGGGAGAGCATGAATGCCATTTCTCACTACCACAAATTATGTAGTTGAGTTTCCTGTGTTTAGGGAGATAAAAGGGGTCAGCCTAGGTGGATGAGCCTCACCCTAGGAAACTATGTTTGTGATCATAGTCTCTCCCATGCCAGATAAGCAGAGCACACTCTTCATACCATTCCTAATATAGGGTTTAAAGTATGGATCAGTGTAGAAGAAAAGGAATGGAGAAGAGTTAGAGTTAGATCTGGGTGGAACTACTCAGACTCACATTTGACCTTTTCTCTGGAAACCTGGAACAGGAAGCCTGGTAATACTAGAGCAGAAGGAAAGTGACAGAGATGATCATGTAGAACAGGTGTGTACATATTACCAGAGCCAAGCATCAAGCTAGGTATGAACTGCTCTGTATCTTCATTGATCATAAATAGAGAAGGCTTGAGCTCTACCTGTTCAGGTCCAACTGGCAGGACACCTATTCTTCCATGGGACTCAGGCAATGGAAGAAGACCAATCTGATAGCCACAGCACCTTCTCTTGACATTTGTTGCCTGTGATGGCTTGAATATGAGATACCCTCATGGGCTAACTGTTAAAAACTTGGTCTCTAGCTAGTGAACTTTATTTGAAAAGCGTTGAAAACTCTAGAGGGGGATGGAAAACTATAGGATGTAGGTTCTATAAACATGTTCCGTGGAGTTTTGTCTGGCCTCAGGCATCTTAATGTTTTTCTACTTCTAGGTCACCATAAAGTGAAAAGATTCCTCACATGCACCCACCTCTGTGATATTTTTTTTTGTCTTGCCCAGGGTGACAAAGCCCAGTGTGACAGAGCTGGCTTACTATGCACTAAAACCTCTAAGAGTATGAGACAGAGTAAATCTTTCCTCTTTTAAACTGTTTCTCTTAGATACTGTCACAATGTCAGGAAACTAACACCAAAAATTGATAAGGGAAAAGTGAGGTCATTTCTATGACCATTCCTCACTATGTGGTTCAGAAGACATTAGAAGTAATTTGTGAGAGAAATTTGTAAAAAGCAAGCTAGAGAGGCACTAGAGAATTGTCAGGGTCTTATCTGCAGTTCTGATGGGATTTTAGCATATCAGAACAGTAATGGAAACACAGACAGTGGAGACTCAACTCACAGATTCAGATAGGAATAAAGACTCTATTGGGAACTGAAGTAGAGACCTTTCCCTCAGACTTGGTAGAAAGCTGAATTTAAGTATGACAAACTAGTTCATACAGTGAAGAAATGTCAAGGCAAGCTATCATTCAGTATGATTATTGCTTCTGCTTTTAGCCAAGTTTATAATGAAAATTGGGAGCAAAGAGCAGAGGGGAGAGATTTGAAAAACAATTTGGCCAGAAAGAAAACTCATTAGTACATTTCTCAGTTCTCATCAGAGAAGCTTCTTTTTGCAGTAGATGGTAATTAACACAAAGACACACAACTGGCCAAGGTGTGGAGAATAAGAAATTGAGGAATCTCAGTCCTTAAAGAAACATCTGTATCATATCTGCCTCTCTAAAATCTCAACAATCACCATGGAAGAGGAGGCTGAAAGATTTCAAGAGCCAGATGTCCTGGAAGATTAAGAGGAAATAATGTTTTTCAGGCACAACGGGGAAGTACCACATATGAACTGACTGTGGCTGTGACAACATACCAGCATGGAGAAGGAGGTGGGCATTAAGTCCCACACAGAGCTTGGCACCTATTGATGTATAGCTACTGGGACAGGGAGAGTCAGTTTTCTTCAAGGGTGTGGTCCTTGGTTGGAAGACCATGCATCCAAGAGTAAGTGGGCAGCATAAATTGGACCTGATACATTTTTTTGTTATTGACATTTTAAAGTAAACACAAATAGGTAGGTAGGGAAAGCAAGGTAGATCTGTAAGAAGTTGGAAGTGGGTGAATATGATCAAAACATGGAAAATTCTCAAAGAACTCTTTAAAAAAGAAAATTGTGAAAATAGAGAATTGGGCAGTTCAAAAGATTAAGACTACTTATAGAGAAGCCAAATACTTTACATTAGGGCAATAGGCAACACGACAAAGTGTCTCGGGAATCTGTCAGGCCACGTAGAATCATGTATAAATCAAACTCACTTAAAGTCTTTTCTTTAAGAAGAAGCCCTAGGGCATTGTCCTTGAACACAGCCATATAGGGAAGTTATTAAAACATGTAGACATTTAAATGACATTGGACACTATAGCTGCCATTCAAGGCACCCCATTACTGCTCAGGCTAGTGACAAATCTTAACATTATTCACATGATGCTGGAATTGGAAACATTCAGGATGCAAGAATAATGGTGTCATGGAGGCATCCAATTAGACTTCAAGCTAAAGACTGACATACTATGGCAGAAAATTTCTCAATCTAGGCAAAGAAATGAGCCTTCAAACAAAAGAGGCACTTAGAACCCCAAAATAGATGTGACCAGAGAAAATGTACAATGCAAAAAATAACAATCAAGATGAAAAAGTTACAAAACAAAGAGAAACTATTAAAACTTCAGTGTAAAATGCTCAATTCACAAAAACAAAAAAAAAAAACCAACAACATCAGTATAACATTGCAGAAAACTAACTCTGGGAAAGTATGGCATGATGTATTTCAAATCCTAAAAGTAAATAAGTGCCAATGGAGATTGCTACATCCAAAGCCAAATTTATCTTTTAAAATCCATAGAGAATGAAAAACATTTCAACACAAGTATAAACAAAAGTATTCATGACCACCAAGCCAGTGTTGAAGAAGATACTTAAAGGAAATTTAAACACTAAGGTGGAGCAATGACAACCTCAACCATGAGAATACAGGAAAAAAATAAATTTCCTATTACTATTAGATGAACAAAGGAGAATGGGAATGAATCAATCATGTCCAGATTGGCAACCCACCAAACTCTCATAAAGCAATAGAGTAGAAACAATAGAATAAACAATTGAGCCACCAGAAAAAAAAAACATCAAAGTTAAAGAAATTAGTAAATCCCTCTTCATAATAACTCTAAATGTACATGGTCTTAATTATCCAATTAAAAGATGAAGACTAGCTGTTTGGATTTAAAAAAATAAGGTCTAGCTCTTTGTTGTCTACCAGAAACACATCTCACTGGCAAAGATCCATGCAGATTGAAAATGACAGGATATAAGTAATTTGCAAAGCAAATGGAAACTAAAAACCTACACCTGACAAAGTAGATTTCCAACAAAAGCTAGCCAGAAGCAATAAGGAAGGTGACTGCACATGTTATTACACAGCAGTTTTCTCCTAGCTGAAATATTCTGTCTAGGAGGTAAACAAAATTTCATATGGCTGGGAACGAATAAACTTGAAAGGTTCTCAAGAGTACCTCCCCAGCTTTATAGAATGAATAAACCACTGATAGAAGAGATAAGATGCATAGGGGAGATATGGACCTGTCCAGCTTTCAGAGAGAGCTCCAGGTTTGCAGTTCTCAAGAGTCATCATCTATGTTGGGGTTAGATTTTTAGCGATACAGCTGATTTGAATCATACCTCCTACTGTAAGAAACCTCTTATTCATATTCTGGTTTATCAAGTTGGACTTTGGTGCAATCGTTACTTTGATCTGCCATGGGTTTCTAGGGTAAGTGTGTGTGTGTGTGTGTGTGTGTGTGTGTGTGTGTGTGTGTGTGTGTGTGTGTGTGTGTGCTGCATCTCCCCAGAAAAAGTCCCTCACACAAGGATTACGAAGGAGACCAATACAACAATATGTTATAATAACTGTAAATACAATTGCACCAAAGGTTGATACCTCCAATTTAATAAGTAAAATTCTATTAAATGAATAAGAAGAACTAACAACAAAGTTTCCAAAACTCACCCAGAAAACAAGTGATATCAAAAACTGGTGAAAGTGCTGTCGAGACGAACTCTTATAAGCTGCTGGTGAGGATGTAAATTATTCTAGCCACTATGAAAACTAGGAAGGAAGTATTTCAAAAAGCTAAAAATAAAACTCCCATGTGGCCCAGTTTACCACTCTTGCCAGAAAATCATGGCATATTTGTATACCCATATTTATCATTCATACCATTAGCCATTCAACTAAGATATTGAACTAGTCTAGATGCCTATTGATAGATGAATGGACCAAAAAAATATGTATGTGACATATGAATATTAATGAGTTGTGTATATATAATGAAAATGGTAGGAACTAGAGATCTTTGCGCTAAGCAAAATAACTCAGATTTAGAAAGATAAATTTTGCATATTTTCTCTCATATGCAAGCACAGGCAATCCAAGAGGAGGGAGGACATGTGCCTATAATCAGCAAGGACATAGGGGTGGTCTCCCCAAGCTCATCAGGGCTCATGCACATCACCATACATAATGGCCATGCCAGGCATGGAGCTACAGGGCTTTTGCTCTGATGGCTTTTGTTCTGGTTCTGGTTAGCCCTTTCCTCATTATTTCTATATTATTCCCCTTGGACCTGTAGTTTGTAGTCTGTGCCACTATTTACCAAGTGTGTGGTTCACTTTTGATTTGACAGGGACTCACAGCTAAGAGTTTGCCATGAGTCCCAGAGGAGACCTTGGGCTTGAACTTTAGAATTGCATTGGAATGAAGTTTGTGGGAACTCTGAGAGATGGACTGGATGCATTTCATACCAAGAAATGACCATGTGTCTTTTAGAGACTTAGTGTTGGGAAGGTCATGGAGGGAACATGTAATGTCCCCACAGGCTGATTGCTGAAGCCTTGGTCCCTAGCTGGTTGCTCTGTCTTGTGAGATGATGGGCACTCAGAAGGAAAACCTGCCCAGAGGAAGTAGGTTATAGGTCATTAAAGATGTGTCCTTTGGTGGGCTGTATCTTAGCCCTTTTTGTCTTTCTCTCTAATTTTTGGCCAACAAAGGGTCAAGATGCTCTTCTGCACACTCCATTACCATGAAGCTTTCCTTGCCCAGAGACTCAAAGCAACAGTGACAGCCAATCATGGAATAAAACCACTGAAACAATAGGCCAAAGAAATCCTTCCTTAAACTGCTTCTCTTGGGCACTCACCACAGTGGCAGATGTACTAACACACTGCCTAGACTCTAGGAAAGACTGTCAGAGCTGCAGTAGAGCCATAGGTAGAGCATCTGCCTTTCCATTAAACTGCTTCAGGTACCAGCTGGCAGTGGCAGACAGTGTCTGCTGCTATGGTCCATTGTGGATACACAGTAGAACAGCTCTCATCTAAGCAACGCAGACTTAAGATGAGTGACTAGCAGATCTGTACACACAGGACATCAAAATGAAATCAATTCCCTGCAAATTTACAGAGAGATTTCATCTGAATGTTCATCTGCAGAGTTAGCTGACAAAATTCTCCACCCATCTGCCCAGCACAGACAAAGCAATAAAGATATGCTCTCTCTGTCTATCTCTCTCTCTTTACTTCTCTGTGTGTGTCTGTCTGTCTCTCTTTTGTGAGTGTGTGAGTGTGTGTGTGTGTGTGTGTGTGTGCGCGTGCACACATTCGTGCACACACAAAGGTACCACAGCACTGGACATCAGTCCTATATTTCACTCTTTTTGAAACAGGATCACTATTTGGCTGTTGTTTATTGCTGCACATGCCAAGTTAACCAGTCATGAACTGCAGGGGTTTCTCCTGTCTCTGCCTTTCATCTTACCTTAGGAATGTTGGTTTTACAGACACAGACCACCATATCCAGCTTTGTGTGGATTCGGGGATGATAATTTAGGTCCTCACACTATCGAGGGAAATGGTTTATCCACTGAGCCACCAGCTCCCTATTCCTGGAGATATCTTTTAAGTGACAGTGTAACAAAACCTGATATGAATATCTTTTCTGTGCATTTCAGTTTATTGTGCTCTGATGGCTGCAGTGACAGTAGCCAGTGCCCCTCCACACTCTTTAATAAAATGCTCTGTGAAAAAAAAAAAAAGCAAACAGGCTAGCTACAGGGTGAACACCAGTCATCACTCCACTATGCAGTCTGACACACTCTTGTTCTTCAGGATCTTATCTTATTGACTGTCCCATAAACACCTTGAAATCATTAGTTGAGTGTTTCCCCCCACCTGTAGGAATTTGCAGTGCAATACTGATCATTATGAGGAATGATGTAGACGGCTCACCAATATTCCTCTGCCACCAAAATTAGTCTATTATTTATGTTTGCTTTGGGCAATTATCAATGAACCAAGATAAATAAAAATAATTGGCTTTCAACTGGCTAAATGGATTTGTTAATTATTCACCAGAAAATTAATCAGCCCCGTTTATTTAAGGGGAGGTCATGGAAGAATCTCCCTATACTCATCATTTGAAAATATTGTTGTAAACAAGGGACAAAGTCAAACAAAAGCCAGGAATATAGTGAGGAATGAAGGATAAGTTGATATCTAAGCAAACCAATTGACAAGACACTAGGCCAAGAAAATAGACTCACTGGTTCTGTCCTCAAGGAACTTTGAATTGAGGAAAATAGTCCAGATGCTAATGGAAATGAGGGAATAACGTGGTTACTGCAGGTTCAAATCAAAGGATCTAAAAAGAAACCAGTCTTTTTGGGTAGAAGGACATGACTTAGAAAGCTATAGTATATAAATTTTAAATTGGTATACACTGACTTTCCTGGTGGCACAAGCACATTTGTTAAATCAGAAACATGTATGATCGAAATTTTGAGTGACAAATAATTCAGTCTCTCATAGATGAACACAATCTTTGTGTGCATTCCATCAGAGTCAATTTTGTACAAACAAGGATTCTGAGTAGTGTAAAATCACTTTATACAATAGTCTTATGGGTAATATGTGTGAGCTAGTTCAGCAATTCTTGGCACATAAAGAGCTCTCATATAAAAGGAAGATTTTATGCATCTGTTTAACTTCAGGTTGCAAAAATATCTGGGTAATTCAGAGCTTATCCTCACAAAACCTGAAGGAATATACACATCCAAGACATCCAACAGTGGTGATGCTGTATGCTGCTAGGTGCTGCCTTCATTTGAAAAGTCCCAGGTAGAAAAGAATAGAGAGACCGTGACACTGGAATTGAAGGATCCTGTGGTATCTTCAGACCTTAAAAACTGCAAGATAATGTGAAAAACGCTGTTACTTAATGAAATCTATTTTATTTTTTGATTTGTGGGTTTATGTGTGTGTGTGTGTGTATATATGAGTATAGATCTTCAAAATTGCCTGTATTTGAAAATACTTATCTTGGAAATAGTCCCTTAAAATGTATCTCAAAATTTCCTCTAAAAACATTTGCTTGCTTGCTTCCCTAAGATGCAAAAGAGAAAGACTGCATGTGAAATCCAACTGCATCTCATAATAGAAGCCTGACCTTCAGAAATGAGGTTAAACTCATTGAATTTTGTTATCTTTATCTATGAAGTAAAGAAACAGCACACAGACAAAGGAGCATCATGAAGATGAAAAGGCTCATTGCTGCCCGTACTGCCTGATACATATTAGGTCTTAATACACAGAATCAGGTATCATAATTATTAGTAATATTGCCTTGGTCTCCCCATCCTTGTTTCAGCACTCCACTCCCCTTCTTTTTCTTCCCAGTAGTTCTCTCCTTTCACACCCCCAACTTAATCCCTCAAGGTACCAGGAGCAGTGTCAAATTCTACTGTCCCATTCCTTCTTGGATGTTCTCAGTGGTGATTGAGAAAGAGACTGGCCAGAGTGTGCAGGGTATCAAATATAAACAGAAAGGCAAGAGAGAGAAAGTAAAAGAAGACAGGGAGCAAAGAACAGAACAGACCAGCTCTTTCCCTCCTCCAGTCCTTCACCCCACAACACCACAAAGAGGAATAACACATGAGGAAAAGATACTGTCCCAAGATCAGGTAAGGAAACCTTAGACTGAAGCACTATCTCATACAGAAAGAGCCAGAAGGAAATGAGAAACAAGAAAGAAACTGCCAGACTCAGAGAAAGGGCAATGAAAGAGATAGATGATCTTTAAAAAAAAAAAAAAGATAACAAATGAGGCTCTGATAAGTTTAATTTTCTAGGCCTGGGTGAGCTTTGCCTAAGCTCCAGCTAAATGGAAATATAAATAGCTGAGAAAGACGCTGGTGGATAGGAACTGACATAATGGACTATATTGACTCTCAGAAAGATAGGAGGGACCTTCTTAAAAGCATAATATTTTACATGGTCATTTATCAGACTTCCTCTGGCTGAGTAGAATCCTTGGGGCAGAGGAGGTAAGTGCATCGGCTAATCTTAGTGTTTTGTTTAAAGTGCACCCTGCACTGGGCTAGAAATCAGTTAGCTTTACTAGGCAGATGGGGCAGGGGGGAAGAACTCCTATCTCCCAGCAGCATTCATTAGCTAACTACTGAACAGAAGATCCAACACCCACTCTTCTCCACCCACTATGTGCCTCTTAACCTATCACCTCTCCTTCGGGGTTCCTCATTTGAAGAACCATTGAAGATTTTTTATCTTCCTCGTCTCATAGAGTCTAACTAATTTGTGAGCCCTGTAGGTGTTTATCCATTGGACACACTCACCTGTTAAAATCATTCACTCTTCCCCAGTTGTAGATGCATCTCTACACATCCCTCAGGTTCATGAACCTGAATTTCTGCCTGTACTTAGGGATGGGAGTGTTCTAGTTTGCTTTCTGTTGTTGTGATAAGAGAAGCAATTTAGGGATGAAGGGATTTAGCTTACCTTAGAGTCCTTCCATCATCAAGAGAAGTCAGACAGGAACCCAAGGCAAGAGCAGACACAGGAACCATGGAAGAAAGCTGCTTACCGACTTGCTCTCTGGTTTGCTCAGCATTTTTATACAGTGCAGGTCCATCTGCTAGGAATGATACTTCTCCATGTCCTGGGCCCTCTCAAATCAATTAGCTACCAAGAAAATGCCCCACAAATGTGCCCAGGGGTCAATCTGATGGAGGTAATTTGTCAGGTCAAGTTTCCTCTTCCCAAGTGACTTTAGTTTGTGTCAAGTTGACAACACAAACCAACCATTACAGGGAGGTTCCCTAAGTTTTCCAGCCCTTCCCACCCAGCATAGCCTTTGACACAGTTCTTCTAAGTAGTTGGAGCCTGCTAGAAGCCCCTTATGTATTTTTTAAATACTTGTCTGTTTCTTCTTTTGAGAACTGCTTGTTAACCTTATTAGCTCATTTACTGAAGCTGTGAGTCACACCCAGTGTGTGTGTGTGTGTGTGTGTGTGTGTGTGTGTGTGTGTGTGTGTGTGTGTGTTTGATTTTTTCACTTCTCAGGGAAATTAAAATTAAAACTTTTTTAAGATTCTATCCCAACACAATCAGAATGGTAAATATCAAGAAAATAAATAACAACAAATGCTAGGAAGGATGTGAACCGAGAAGAATCCTGATTCTTTGCTGATGGGAGTGTAAACTAGCATAGCCATTCTTAAAATTGGTATGGCATTTTCTCAAAAGATAAAAATAGATCTACCTTCTGACCCAGCTATATTACTCCTAGGCATATAGCCCCACACCCTCAATGACTCTATCCTAGCACAGAGACACTTGTACATCCATTTAATGCTTCCTCACAATAGCAAGGAAATTGAACCAGCCTGGATGTCCATCAGCAGATGAACTGATAAAGAAATTGTGGCATATACACACAATTGAATGTTAACTAGCTGTTAAAAATGAAATTTTCAGGGACCTAAATGATTCTAGAAAATATTATATTATTATGTGTAAGTGACCCAGACTCAAAGGTGACTCAGAAAGACAAAAACCATTTTCACTCTCATATGTAGATCCTAACTTGGCAGACCCTAACTAAACGTTTGTATATATGTAAATAAGGGAGTGTGAGAGTGGTTATATACTTTGAAAATAGATAGTCAACATGAAAGGGAAGCAAGAGGTGTTTAGAAGGGAAGGTATTGAGGGCAAAGGGTCACAAGTGACATGAATATAAAAAGGAAGATACTGAGGGTGGGAGGGATACAAGATGGAGAAGGGGTTGGAAGACCAGAGAGTAAGAAAAACAAGGACAAATTTTATTTGAAAAATTCCCTACTGTAATTGAATGCTCCATGTGCAAACAACAATTTTAAAAGAGAGGAAAAAAAGAGGACTATGATGCAGAGGACTAAACTGGAAAGAGGGTTGGAAGATGTTCACAGCTCATTCTGAGATATGTTATCTGAGAGCCAAGAGCCAACTGAGGGCTTAGTAAAATGCTAATGTTTCATGAGTTAGATCTAATCAGTGAAGGTAATCATGACTTTCTGGTGTACTGGGTCCATAAAACACTCTTCTTGGTATTTCCCATCTTTGGCACAAAGGGAGGTGTTCTAGATGATGCTGTGATTATTTGCATTTTGACAGTTTTAGAGGCTGGCATATTGACACATATCAGTGGGTTAGTTCTGAATCTCTAGAGAAACAATTAACAGGATAAATATATATGGAATATATTAGATATGGTCAAAGTAGTCATACAATGGCTATCTCACACCAGAGAAATTGAGAACCAGGTAGTTGTTGATCCATGCAGTGGGATGTCTTAGCAGTCTGGTGCTGAAGGCCTGGAGGAATCCTGGAGAGCCACTGCTCTGCAGTCCATGTTGGAAAACTGAAGAACCTGCCTCTACTATCTGTAAAGGATTCGCCAGCAACAGTAGCAGTAGGATATATGAACTCACCAGTGAAAGTGAAAGCCAAATAAGAGGATAAAAAAGCAAAAAAAAAAAACCTTTCCTTCTTCCATGCCTTTTTATGTGACAAGACAAGCTACCACAGACAAGCCCAGCTTCAAACTCTCATTATGTTCTCTTCTAGGAAGCCTAGGTTGTGTTGACAGTTAAAACTAAACATCACAGTCAGATTTACCCTAGTCCATCTGAGCAGGATTGTAAAGTCTACCAGACCTAAGCACTCATCCCTTGAAGAATCACCCTAAAGACTGCATTGGAATGTGGGGACTTTCTTAGATTTCCCACCCCCAAGTTTTTTCATACCCCACACCAAACAGATTAGCACTCTCTCACTCCCAACAGCATCGTCCTTGTCCACTTCTGCTACTTGGTGAAATAATTTCTTGTGCTCGGAATTTCCACAACACAAAGATTGTCACTTAAATCCATCATTCTCTTGCATCACTTCATCTCTTCAGGCAAGTCAAATCTAAAGCAGAGGAAGAAGACAACACAACCACTTAACCATATGAAGACCTAGAGACACTTCAAAAACTGCCTCTACCATATCATCTACCATCTTTACACAAGATAACACTAGGGATGTGCACTCACGGATAAAAAGCCATGTGAGCACATGGTTGGAAACAATGAGGATCAACTTTGTATCATCTTCTGTTAGTGTGTTTCTGGATGAGATTAGCTCCAAGTAAGTAAACTGAACAAAGAAGACCATCCTCAATGTGGGCAGGCATTTCCAGCCCACCCAGATTCCAAACAGAGCAGAAAGATGGGGAAAGAAAGAATTCCACCTCTTGTTTTTCTTGAGCTAGAATATCCATCTTCCTTCTCCTTCCCTCAGAGATCAGAGTTTCTATTTCTTATGCCTTCAGACTCCAGCATGTATGCCATCAGTTTTCCTGTTTCTCAGCTTATACCCAACATACTGTGGGAATTCTCAGCCTTCCACTATATCTATATATCAGCCTGTCTACCTATCATCTACCATCTACTTATGTCTACGGCTGCTTCTGTTTCTCTGGAGTATTTGACTAATACAAAAACACAGCAGATATTTCTAGGGGCATAACTAAAGATCCTGATCATGCAAAACTTGTGAAAGAAGAAGAAACATTAGGGTGGTAACTAATTCTGAAGCCATACACATGCACATAAGCACATCTTAAATTTGTGGATAGGAGCTGAATGGTGTCAAGTTAGCTTGGATGCACAATGGCTATCTTCAAGACTGAGCTAAACAAAGTTGTCAGTGAGGACCCAAGATGACTGATTAGGCAGGAAATAAGGTGCATTTCCACCCAAGACAGTCTCTCCACCATCGCTAACAAGTCCATCTATTTCCATCTGTTCCCGAGCATGACAACAAAAATGTTAAGAAGCAGAGTTCTCTTTTACTTTGAAACCTTGAAAACAGAAGCACACTCTCTTAGTCTCTTTTTTCACGGTATTTCAATCCCTTAGTTAAGAAGATGGAATGTCCCTGCTATTTCCTGCCCTCAGTTTACCATCTTTGCTACAGTTATTCTTGGCCATACCTCAAGCGCTCTTTAAAATGTACCTAGATGTCAAAGCTCAATCCTAGTAATATATTTCTTTGCAGGGCTTTCTCCTGCAACTTATCCTCAAACTAATCACCTGGCAACTGAATCAATTAGATGGGTTGACCATCTGATTTTCACTTTTTGGTGTTTGGCTTTCATCTTCTCTAATAGACTGTAAATGTTTCTGGGTTTTAATATCAGACAAGCACACTGGCTTTAGATAGTAGTTTTGAGAGGGTTTCTTGTCTATGCCTCAGTTTCCCCTATGTAAAATGGTGAAAATGTAAAACCTCATGGAACCGAAGTAATTGTTCTTTAAAAGATTAATTTTATTAAGTGTGGGTAGGGGAGAGTGCATGCCACAGCTTGTGTGTGGAGGTCAGAGGACAACTTCACAGAATCAGTTCTCTCCTTCCACAATAGGTTCCATGGACCAAACTCAAGTCACTGGGCTTGTCAGAGAGTTCTTTTACCTGCTCAGAAATCTTTTCAGGCCAAGTTTATCCCTGAAGTGTCAGGTACTATCCATATTAACCTGTGCCTGATACAAGAGTGGCTGGTTCACTGTCCCAGTAGGATGTCCTCACAGTACATAACAACCTCCAGCCTTGCTGACATTTTCCCTCCAGCATCTGATAATCTGAGACTTTTCCCTTAATTTCTCAAACCTTGTGGTAGAAGAAATCTTCCCATACCCATGTTATACGCATGTACACACCTGTGTGTGTGTGTGTGTGTGTGTGTGTGTGTGTGTGTGTGTGTGTGTACATCGCCTGCTTTCTAAAATTCAGTAGACCTCCTAAGAGTTGTGAGTTAATAAACAGATACATCTGGAGAAAACATCTCCCTTATTGTCTGTGAAGGTGCCTTCACTTGTTGCTGGTGGAATATTACTTTCCTGAGACAAAGTCACATGTAGCTTCAGCAGCAAGGAGCTATCTATGGCATTATGACTGAGTTGTGTCTGTCTAAAATTCACACATGGGAATCCTAATCCCAGTGTGCCCTTGGGGAGATATGGCCTTGAAGGAAGTGAAGAAGGATGAATTAGGGCATGATGTGGAACCCAATATGGTCCATAGCTTTACACAAGATAACACTAGGGATGTGCACTCACGGATAAAAAGCCATGTGAGCACATGGCAAGAAGTCTGACATCCAGAAGGCAAGGAGAAAGAAAGTCAGTGTGTCAATACTTTGTCCTTGGACTGCCTAGTTCTGGAACTATGAACTGTTGTTAAGCCATCCAATGTGGAAGCCCCTATGATCACAAGTCTATTAGTGAAGATGCCTCCAGTTAGATAAATGAATAAGAGCATCCAACAAGCGCACAGAAACCCAGACTACTGTATAGGGAAGAAGTGAAACTGACATCAGACAGAACATAGACAGCCCTGGGCAGCTCCTGCTTGGACCTCTGTAGGGCTTATTCAAGGAAGGAAGAGGCAATGGAGCAGCAGGGTCTGTGAACCCACACTTTTTACAGCTAACTGGCGGTGTGGTATCGGGGGAATGAAGGAACTCTGGCCTGCTTCCCATCTGCACTTGCCTCCCCCAGCTCTCATTGTCAGTTTCCAGGAACTGGTTCTGATCTGATGCATGGGCTGCACTTAAACTGTGTAGCCAAAGTAATTAACTCCTGTGACCAGAAGTGCTGTGTCAGCACATCCATTCGCCAGGCTGTCTCAGCTCCCTCGGAGCCAGCCATGTCTCTGCATCTCCTGACATTTTTAAAGACTGTGTAGCCGGCAACTTCCTGGGGATGGTGTAGGTCAGGGCTTGAAGAAGCCAAGCCTCACAGAATACAGGGCTTGGAGAGCTCTGTGGTTCTTTTCACTGCACCTTTGCTTTTTCTGAGCCCCTCTCATCTTCACATGAATGTCTTCTACTGAGGAGGATTCTCGTGCACAATCCAGAGACCTGGATGCAAATCCCATCTATACAAATGACTTCAGACTGATCTCTGTCTAATGGAAACACTGCAAGTTGCCTGCCCTGAGAGTTTGTTTCCCCCCCTTTGACAGTGTGAAGCTTTTAATGGTGAGATACACAGAGAACACCAGACCCTGTCTGGAGAGACTTGCTGCTTAGGGCACCACCACCCCCACTTTCAGTGTCTTTGTCTATATAATTGAGATAAACTTTTTCATCCATAAAGTACCTGTTAATTCTAGAACTCTGGTGTGCTACTTTTTAAAAATCCCTGAAGGCAAAGGCAAAAACCTCTTCTCTCCTCTCTCTCTCTCTCTCTCTCTCTCTCTCTCTCTCTCTCTCTCTCTCTCTGTGTGTG